TTAATATTAAGAATTATATTAATAGAGTACCAAAAACAAAACAAAACAAAACAAAACAAAAAAACAAAACAAAAAAAACAAAACAAAACAAAACAAAAAACGAAAATGAAAACGAAAAATGAACACCAAGAAAAATATTAGATATTTAAAAAGATACTTTAACAACAACGACAAAAATAACAACAACAGAAAAAGAAAAGAAAAGAAAAGAAAAGAAAAAGGAAGGGAAGGGAAGGGAAGGGAAGGGAAGGAAAGTAAAGTAAAGTAGAGCGATAGTTGTTGAAGAGGAGGAGGAGAATTCGAAGGAGGAAGAAGTTAAAATGAATAAATTTTCTGTTCCACTCTAAGTGTACAAAACTTGCCTGACACCCGGAAATACGTTTTATTAAATGGTYTTTTAAAAATACGCAATCATTATCTTGAAGAAGCTTGTTTATTTATCTTGACGGCTGTCAAATAGATATAGTCAACAAATTTAGGTGCACATGACACTATACATGGGACTTGTACAATAAGAATTATACAAGTGCCACGAAGCGGCCTGAAGATATCATTTAGATTATGTCTTGAACAGACGAAGTGGGAACTACCACTCAGTATGGTTATCTCATATACTTGAAAGARGTCTGTGAAATATAATGCATTCTGCGCTGGCTCTTCATAGCATATTAAAAAAAACCCCTGGATTTGAACGGTTTATCAGAACATAAATATTTTTGATCGGATTTGACTAAAGACTAAAAAATTCCGATACGCTGGATAATTTCTTTCACAAAACCTTTTTATTTTTCGTTACAATGAGTTGCTTGACATAAATTGCTGAAAACGTTTCGTATATCCTTACAATGATTTTAAAACTTGACATTTCTAAAATGTTTCTAATTAAGGCAAATTGCTGGCTATTATGGCAGCCATCTTGGTTGAGTTCATTAATCAAAATGGCGGCCATGTCTTTAATTATTTCAATCGCATGGTAATATTGAAAACAATGTTTCGCGTTTAATGGACGCAACCGAAAACGATACTACTGACCACTGGCATACCCTTGGACTTTACCCCTTAGGATAAAAAATACGTTCGGCTCTCTAAGATCATTCAAAATCCATAACATAAGGACAGTTTGTGAATAAATCCAAGCTTTGATGTCATCAAGTTATAAGAGATCTTTTGGAACTTCACAATCTTGTTTTAAGTGTTTATACAATACACCTGTGACGTAGACCATTGTCAAGCTTAAACGCTTTGGGTGTCAGTTTCTATGGCAGATGTGTTGATTTTATTCTCCAAAGAGGAGTCACGTTTCGTCCTTTTTAGGAGAAAAGTGTCAAAAAAAGAAATCGAAGTTAAGCATTTTCAGATTTTGTTGAAACCAAGCACATTCGACAATAAGACGACTTGGCCAGTGTACTTGAGAAGCATTAGCGATAAAAAAATTTTCGATGATCATGGAACTGATAATGAATAGTATCGTGAAATATTAAAGAATCTTTTATGCATTACCGGGTTTCAAATCGAGTGGAAGGACTTGGGAGACCACCGCACAACTGCTGACCAGACTGGATAAAATGAACATTTTTAACATGTAGTTGTATAATACCATTAATATAAGCTCGACAAATGCAGCACGATKTCAACMAAACAAAAATTTCTTTTGGAAATGGAGATATTTATGGCATGTTTTTCACGATTGCTCGGCTTCCACCCAGTCTTCCCAAGACGACTAGGTTTCTTCACRCTTTACCATAYCATTCGAACYGCAYTGCGTTGTTTGATAAAATAAAAATTATTACTGAAACTTTTTTAGTTTTATGTAGTTGTATAATACCATTAAGCTCGACAAATGCAGCACGATTTCAACCAAACMAAARTTTCTTTTGGAAATGGAGATATTTATGGCATCTTTTTCACGATTGCTGGGCTTCGACCCAGTCTTTCCAAGGAGACTTGGTTTCTTCACACTTTACCATATCATTCGAACCGCATTGCGTTGTTTGTAAAAATAAAGATTATCAATGAAACAGTGTTTTTTTTAAAAATCTGCTAAATTTCACCCGAGTGTATAATTTTCCGATTGATCACACTCAACTGATGGTGCAATTCTTCTTTGTGTTATATGATAATTAATATTATTTTACTTTTTTTGATTCATCTTCCAAATAATGTCACCGATTTCATGAGCTTGGCTTGTTGAGGCCATGATATATAATTTGACTATCTAATTGCTAACATCCTATGAATATACATTAGTCACAATTGATGTCTTATAATTTAGCAGCCCGATAAAGTGTTCTTCAAAGAGTTCCAGARAAGGATCCACTGAATATGGCTTCTCTTCTCGAATAACAAATGAACTTGCTAAAACTTGTTCGCTGATTGAGTAATTATCACACATTTTAAGATACTTGTGGATTTAATTATATGTTTTTATTCGATAAAGGTGTTGTATATTATAGTAATCGAAGAGCATTTTTGGCAAACGTTTGTCTTCATAAATYGTGGAACGATTGTTATCAAGGGCTTCATTTCCAGTGAATAATTAATGCGTACCCAGTTAAGAATTTAAAATCATAACTATGCTTACATTAAGCAATCAAATTTCTTTAACGCAAATGGTTTGGTTTAGAGCAGTGGCCTTAAACTTTTTTACTTCATAAATGTTAARATCAAAGTCTCATCTTTTGATCCGTTTCTTTTTCGTTTTGTAATATATTTTCCCTGTTCATAATATTTACGTTAGCGCGGCACTTTTCTGAATAACCAGGCATATAGCCAAGGGTTCACATATACGATATGGAGCTTTGTCGGTCGTATCTAAATTATACACCGTTATCGTCTCTCTTATTTTATACATGAATATTGATGCTCAACTCCAAGACCACTATWGTTTGATAAGGGTTATTTTCGATCGTCTGAAGAGCCTTAAACTTAAAATTCACTGTCCACCAAGTCTAGATTAAACATTGGTCTGGATCCAATTTCAGTTAAATAAAAGGCATTCATTTTTTTCGCACTATAAATTAAATGTCAAAGCTGAATTTGAAAACGTCATTCAAGGATTTCATTATGTAGATAAGGAATAACTAAAGACGCTCTTGGCTCGCAGGTGGTTTGTGCGATGACGAAGGTTCATTGGCTTTACTCTAAACAGATCAATTTAATAAATAATTCTTTTGTAATTCATAATACAGTTTTTCAAGTGTAGGACCTTAATTCAGTTTCATGTAGAAGGAAGCAAGAAAGAGAAGCAAAAACACAGTAGAATGAATGGTACCGAATGCCCTGGATCAGATCGATCAATATCCTTTATAATTCTAGCTGTTTTAAGTTCTTTATCCGGATTGGTAGCCGTTACCGGCAATGTCTTGGTTTTACTCGCCATATACACCACAAGAAGTCTTCGGACAACTTCCAACTTGTTTATTGCATCATTGGCTGCATCAGACTTCTTGGTTGGATCGGTCATGGACCCTATTTTGGCTGTCAGAAGTATTAAGTACAGCTACTTTGGAGTAAGCTTTAATGACAAAAATCCATTCAAAAAAGGAGTTGATTTCTTATGGATTCAAGCAGTCATAGCAACGACGTTTGGCCTTCTGGCTGTTAGTGTTGACCGATATGTTGCCATCACAAAAGTTTTTCTCTACGATTCAATGTTTACTTCACATCGTTCGGGGTATCTTATTACTTTCATTTGGATCTTTTCATTTGTTTTTGCTTCTTTGAGACTTTTTCTCCCGGATAGTAAATTAGCCCTTCTTTGGGTGGCCACTGCGATATTATCATGCGGAATCCCTTTTACTGTAACTGCGTATTGTTACTTGGCTATTTTTAAAGCTGCGAGGAAGCAGTTGAGGAGAATCGTGAACGAAACTACAGCTAAGGAAACAAGACGGCTTGAAGAGGCACGTCATCGAAAGACAGCTTGGACCATTGGGATTGTCATAGCGCTTTTCTTTTTTCTTTGGTTTCCAAGTTTGGTGATAGCGTCGATCAACTTAACGCTAGAACAAGGTTGCAAAAAGGAAAATTTTTCTCGAACAGTATGGATTTGGGTAGAGTGGGTTGCTTATATGAGTTCTGCGGTTAACCCATGGGTGTATTCAATGAGAAGTGCGGAATTTCGAATTGCCTGTAAACAAAGTCTAGGGCTTCAAAAAACGAGAATTATTCCTGAAGAAATGATTTCAAGATCGAGGGCTCGACCAAGTGTCATTGACATGGGAACTTCCAACCCCAGTCCTGGTAATATTAAAGACTCACAGATTCGGATCAGTCCATGTAATGACCCGGTTAATAAACAATCAAAATTTAAGGATTGCAATTTTCTTTTGCCTCCAGTAGCTTAAACAGAAAAAAAGGAAGGAAAATTAAAACAAAAAGAAATTTAAAGAAATGTAGAGAGGGTAGAAAGAGGAGAAAGATGACGAGGAAAAATTGGAAAAAAATAGAAAAAAAAAAAAAAGAAAAAAGATGTGCCAAGATAATATGAAATTTAGATTAAGCTTATAGAAATTTTCGTTCTGCGTAAAAGTGTGAGTTATAAATGTTTATCCAAATGAAATAAATTTTGACACCATTTTCACTGGCTTAAAATTCATTTAGTTCATCCAGTGCTGTATAGCAATAGACCAGATTGCCTTTATTACTCGACAAAATTGGACATTTACCTCTTAAAGAACTTAAAAGAGTCAAAATAAACACGATTTTATTGGCTGGTGTAAATTAATAACACGGTGTATATTGGATCATTTTTGCCTCCAATGACTTCGACCGATAGAAAAGACTGTGAGATAGAARAAAAAATATTGATGATAAAATTGAAAAGTTTCAATAAAAAATGAAAAAAAAGGTTCAAATTTACATGTTTTGACTTTCATAATTAGGGTTGGTACTAGCCTTCTGAGGATCTCTAGTAACTGAGAAAGTATTTTGATTTTAGAAAGCGTTTAATTAAGGCTGTCTTTGTCACGAGAATTGTATTGAATACAAGAAAAGAAAGAAGTAATGAAAAAGGGAAATTTGAAAAGAATTAATAGGATTACCCATGTTTCAAAACGATAGGTTCCATTTTATTAAATCTATACTAGGAATTATTAATTGTGAAATATTCGTTAAGTCAAAATGATAATTATCGTAAAACGTACTGAAATATCGTATTGAATTATCTCACTGAATTATCGTAGTGAATTATCGTAGTCAATTATCGTACAAAAGTATCGTAGTAACTTATCGCACTGAATTATCATAGTAAATTATCGTACTGAATTTTCGTACTGGATTGTCGTAGTAAATTATCGTACTGAATTATCGTAAAACGCGGACAAATTGTAGGAAAGATAATAAGATAATTAGAGATGCTTTTATACAGAAATTAAACGAAATGTTATATCTTTTTTTGTAGATGTCTTGTTATCATTATAGAACCCGAAGACATACTCCACTTTCACGTTTTAATATCATGGCAGTGTGCGATGTTATATGACTTCAGTTAATTAAGTTTTTGCACACTTTTTCCCGTCTATTTGTTTTTCAAATATACAGAAAAATCAAGGAATTGAAGATAACTTCACCTTTCTGGTATAAACGATGTGAGAGTAAATGGGAAAATTTAATTTCACTGTACTGCGATGCCTAAAATGTGACCGACAGAAAATGTCTGCGTGAATTGGTTGATATTTGGTTTTACAAGTCTAGCTGTAGGCATAGATATGTTATAATGGAATGATTACGATAAAACAGGAAAAGGAGGGAAATCAACATCAACATCAACATCAACATCAACATCAACATCA